TACCAGCGTGTGCACAGGGAGACAACAGAGAGAGGAGTCCCGGAACTTGGCGCGGCAAATAGCCTTTTTTAATGGCTACGAAACCGTAGCTCCAGATAGGTGTAGAAAAAACCACAGGCACCCCAACGATAACTCTAGCGACAACAAGGTCCCGTTTATACTGCCCTTTATTTCAAATGAAGTAAGTGCAGCTATAAAACGCTGTTTGAAAAGGGCCAGTCTAGAGAATTCGGTAACGATAATCGAAATACCACCGAATAATCTAAGGCGCCAGCTGGTTCGTAACCGCCTATACGACCGTCTATGTGCAGCGCGAAATTGCATAATTTGCCCCAATGGTAGAGACGGTGACTGCATGAGTTAGGGCACAGTCTATCTGATCTCTTGTAAAGCGTGCGGGGACGAATACGTTGGCGAAACGGGTAGACCACTCTGCGTACGTATAAAAGAACACCTAGCCGGCAAACGTAAGCTAAGTACTCCACTAGGTACGCATAGCACGCAGAAACATAACGGAGAAGATTTTGAAGTAGGGGTTACGATCCTCGCCCAAGAATCGAGAACACAAGCGCGCAAAACTCTAAGGCATTCTGGATAAATTCCAAGAATTCGAAAATGAACCGCAGGGAGGAATGCCTTGTTATCACGCGTGATATTGGACAGTATATAAACCTGTTATTCTGATGGGAGGGGCACATTACGCTGCCATGTGAATTTGGTGCGGTCGGCCTTCACGCGACATACTCAGTGGAAGACTCATAGAAAGCGGTGAGTGTGCAGAGCTATGCTAAATGTGATTGAAATCTTGGTTTAGAGTTTTCTCTGTTTGGTTATGGAGGTGTTCGGCCGAATGGATTGCGGTCAAGTTGACCCTTCCAGGCTCTGAGGAAGGCGAAATCCGCCGAAACGTCAGCTTGTGCGTAAATAAAGAAATAAAATAGCACCTCGTGCTTGCTGAACGGAAGTAGAATGACAGAGAAGAGTGTTTGGTTTGGTGTTGATCAGTCTGTGGTGATGCACCGTGTATTCCACTCCCTGGCAACGTGGAGAATATTGAAAGCATATTTGGCCTACATAGGGTCAGTTAGTCGCGAAGGTCTAGCGAAGATCGATGTATCAAGTCAGTGCTCAGCGATCAGTGATAAGTGTCTCTCTGCCCCCCTCCAACCCACAAGCCTTTGTTAGACTGCCGGTGCGAGAGAACAATTGACCAAGACCAAGTGTGTAGGGCACCTCTAATCACTGCTCTATAGATGCCGTTAAATCGGGAAGATAATAACCAGAAAACGTTACTTAGAAACGTTTGACGTTTACTTAACGAAAGCTCACGTTCTATTAATTAAAGGTTTTTCAAAAAAAAAAACTGCCGTTCTCAGTGTTTCAGTGGCGTCGACGAGGTATCCGTTCCTTAGGGACAAAAAAAAGAGAGGAGCAGGAAGTAAGAACTTTACGAATAGCCCCTAATGTGCTGTATTTTAGGTCCGTGCGTAAATCGTCAATGTCCGGATGGTTATCAGTGTAACCAGTATGACGTCTGTTGTAAGTATACATAACAAGAAGACCGATATTCTCTCCATTTCTGTTAAATACTAGCTAAGTCTTCTTTCAAAACAAAGCAGCTCATTTTCGTCAATGTTTGTATCCTAAGCGTTTTGAACTACTTATTGTTCTATTGTTTTTTAAAAGTCTACTGATGGAAAATAAAGAAATCAACTAGGATTGAAACTGTCCCATAATTGATTTTTTAAAAAGTGGTGCATGACGTCATAAGCATTTGCATACCTGGAACTGTAGGCATCTAAGCACGCTGAAGAACTTTGCATAGCTCTTTCGTTACCAAATTTTACAAATACTTTTCACTTTTTTCTTTAAATTGTCGTACTTAACTCATTGTAAGGGCGCGTGTGGCGCAATAGTCGGAGGCGTCCGGTAACATACACGTGAGATCGATGCCCTCGTCCATGACCCGCCAAGCCTTTCATTCTCCGGGATCGACAAATTGGTACCAAATGTGTCCAGAAAGACAGCAGCACTTGCTCGATACGTCGGTAGGCCACTACGAGTCATTGTAAATGTAAGATATTCATTCAGTTACCTCCAACGATACTTAATGAAGTCGAATGCATGACGTATCCCTCAGGATTGATCAACGTCGAGAGCTTTATCCTTTTTATCCATTATAGTCTTAGAGGGCTTTCAATTTCATTACTGTTAGGTTGTGTTACATTAATCTCACTAGAGCGGGTATGTGGGGTCAGGTTGAGGAATCCAATACGTAGTAGAAAGTTCTTTGTGGAATAGATGATCTCACTCTGCAACGAAATTTGCCAGAAGTCTTTAGCAGTTATGAAGACAATTCATTCACTAGCACTCTTCAACAGATCTCATAAGACTAGACATGTTCAGAATGGGGCAAATACGTAGTGTGAGGTTCATATTTATAGTTCGACCTATATTGCTGAAATAGCATCTACAGTACACTGTTAGAAAATTTCCCTATCTTTCTTGGTTGGTCAATAAATCTACTCGGTCTACTCACAGTAATCGTAACAGCGGTCTTGGAAGGATGTTAGCAGTCGCAAAGCAGCAAACAACGCGAGCTTTATCCTTTTATTTTTTAATTCATTGTAGCACAACAAGAGCCAAAATTGTAAGAGTGAAAGAAGATCTACTCATTAGCAATAAAGTAGCGCAAATATGCCCAGTTCTTAGACATTAAAATCCTCTCATCCGTTTATTGAAAAAGGAAAATCTTCCATAGACAGAAAGAAAAACAAAAATGAAATGTTTTTACTACGATGTTCCACGCTGTGCGGCAAGCTACAGCAAAGTACGGTATAGCAGGTATAGTAGGTATGAGTGGGTATAGTAGAGTAAGTATAGCGTACAAAAATATGGCAAAGTCTGTCAGATAAAGAATGTTCATAGTTTCACAGCAAACAGCCGACTACATGGACAGAACAATCCAATGCCTCCAATTTTATTGCAGGCATTTCTTAGAGTACAATGTTTAGAAAATAAACATATTTATCAGCCTCGTGTAGGCTTATCAAGAAAAGGATACAAATTGATTAGTTATGCCGAGGTTAAAAGAAAGTCGGTGTGGAACAATGCTTGAAATTATTATGGGTCATAGGGTAGCCAGAAAAGTTTCACTGATCGTGTCTCGTCCAAAGGTTCAATGAGTGGAATTCCATTATCGCCAACGTATCGTGTGAATGGAACATCTTTGAGTTCCTCCAATAAAGAGTAGTAACAAGAAAGGCACTACAATGTCGATAAAACCGTACTGGTTAGAGGTGTTGAAATAAATCACTCAATACCATAGAGATTGAAAGCGGTCGATATAACCAAGTAAAAAAATCTATAGGTAAAAAAAAGTATTTAGCAAAAAGGATAAACAGTCTGTGGAAGAATACCTGATATCCTCGGTTTCTTAGTAGAATTTGATTGGCATGTGATGATGCCTGACAAATGAAGCCTTGAATATGATATCTCTGGAATGCAAAAATGTTTCAGGGCAGAAACCAGAAGATGGAAAGGTTTAAACAGAATAATTTTTAGTGATCTGCCGCCTAAACTGAAGGGATATCATTTATCCAGAAAGTCACCTATAGCCGAGAATTCAACTTTCATACTGATCTGGCTGCAGGTTACGAAGGAGGAGGTCGACATTTTCTATCTGAAATCTCCATGGAGGATGTTCGTCGGTCTCACGATAGGTCTGGTCGAACAAAACTTAATGCAACCAACCAAACTTAACCCTTTCGCAACATTCAGTCATGAAAGGTTCAGTCTTGATCATTACCGACTATTTGGAGTTCTAAGAATGTCAGAATAATTTTCAGATGCCAAAAAAAAAGACGGAAGATAAGATAAGAGACGATGGAATAGAAAACATCTGTATAGATAGTGAACTATGCCGAGTAACATCACATTCGCTACGCTTTTAGCGTCGTTCCAACCACACCATTTCCCATTAGCCAGATTGGACTGGTTCTCAAGTTAGCGCGTGCTGTGAAAAGACGTTCTACAGCTGAACCCAATGAGGACCTGCGAAGGCTACAAACGCCATGTGTCTTAGTAACGATCGTTGAAGAAATACCGTAGCTCTATTAGCTAACCGTTAGACTCTACGAGACTTCAAGAGGGAGCACGACTGAAGAAGACATGTGCAATAACAACCATTTTCACGGACTTCCAATGGGAAAAATTTAGTGCCGTTTGCATTCTCTACCGAGAAGAATTCGTCAGAAAACAATCAAATATGTAAGATGGACCAAGGGAGATTACACTGTTGTCTACTAGAGGTAGTCGAGGATTAACAGGAAGTGACAGTTATAAAGAAGATAATTGCCCTGATGTTTGCGACAAATCCAAATCCGAGTGAAATCCAACGAATCGTAAAGCGTGATTATTCATTTGTTCACAGGATTCTCCGTTTATTTTTTACTAGGAATACTCTAGGAATACAGAATGAGAATAATAGAAGAATAATATTAGAGGGCGCAATGCCCGAGAATACGACGCATTATGTATGGCCGCTTGTTGAGGGTCTTGTTGTGCTAACAAAGCTCTTTTTACCTTTGGCCTCAGATTTGTATGGGAAAAGCTGTCTTCGAATCGCAATGAATGATTTGCAGTTAGTCTGGAGAAAGCCGTAACACGGTAGTCCTAGGATAGCGCGGTGAACCGACTCAACAAGCAATCGATGGTATTCGTAAGGCAGGCAGAATATTCACTACTATAGGAGTCGAATATACATACACGTACACAAACACATGCACACATACATACATACATACACATACACACACACACACACACACACACGCGCACAAATTCGAAGGCGATTTGTTATGATGGATGCCAGACAATGAACTAAATGAAAGTATTGGTGAGGCCGGCGCAGTGTCTGAGGATATTCCATGTAAATTTTAAAAAAGCGAGCGATAATAGTGATTTAGCGACACAGCGATAAAAAGCGATTTCGATTCATTTTACACGACCTGCAGAAGCTCCATGGATTTTCGTTTATCCAGCATTTCACTGGCGATACCCCGTCGTTGAAATGAAGACGCGACGCTGAGAATATCTCTGAAAGCAGCAAGCAAAACACTTAAGCCGCAACGAAAACAGAATAAGTGCTGAGAACAAGAAAAAGAAAAGGACGAACACTTACAATTCAAGCACAGTATTTATTTTTGCGTCGAGTAATTCCCATACGTTGCTGTGTATAACTTCACATATTGAAGCTGGAATCAGTTGAATTCGTCATATGATAAACAAAAAGATGTTGCGATCTTTAAAACCAAAAATTGTTAGTTTCGTTTATTCATTTTTCTACTAAATACTCATTAGAGCCAAGTTGCTAGCGCAGTGGCTGGAAGCGCTCAGCAATATGTGACCTTGGTTCATTACCTCACTCTAGAACAATAAAGCCCTCCGAGCCTTGCGAGTTAGCGAGCTGGAAAAAAATTTGCATGGGAGCGCAAAAAAACATCGACTGAAATAGTTACAGGTGTAAAAAAAGGTAAAAGTTAGAGTTAGTCACTCCTCCCAATGCCGATTATTTCACAGACAAAATGTTTAACCGTATTTAGTCTTCGTTATTTAAGGCTAGCCATTCTGCAGGGACGGGTAGCACCATAGTAGTGATGCCACCAATAACAAAAAAGGCGCTGGTTCGATCCCTCACAAACCCACCAAGGTTCTCATCACTTTGAGGCCAAGAAATTGGTATGAAACTTGTCTGGGAAAAGTTTACATAGTTTACATCCTGCAATCTCCAACTGGGGACGGTCTAGCACGGCTATCTTGGTGATCCCGGGTACATCAGTTCGAGCACCCTTTGAACGACATCCATAAAGATGATGAAGATCCTCAAGCAGCCGCTAAACCCACGTGCAGATCAGGAAGTTGTATTGGATGAAGAATGCGAGGAAAGGAATCGGACGTAAAAAGCGTTAAAATGCGAAATGGGCAGAATATATGCAATTTAATGTAAAATGAATAAAATCCAGCTTTCAGTGACTTTTCCTTGTTGTTTCATTTCAATACCAGTGTGTTCCGTTATGGCATATTTAGTGATGATAATGGTGAAATGAAAACTCAATAAAGATGAGCTGGATAAGAAGCCGTCACCGTCAGTTAAACTGACTGATATAAGTCACTCAATACTTATCGATTTTTCTGACAACGGAAAACATACCAATGGCATCGATCTCAGGACGACGTTCAGACTTTCCAAAAGGATTCTCAACTGCAATGTCATCACGTCGGCGAACGGAATTCAGTGCAATACCCACTATATTTCTGTTTTCTAAAACGAAAGAAAAAAGGCTAAAAAAGTGTAAAATTTTTGGATGACGTCATTTTTGTTACTAAGCATAAACAGAAGAAATATGACAAAACGAAGGAAGTTCGCAGAGGCTTCGCGAAAAGGAAGAGCCTTTCGATTTTTATCACTTTCCACAAAACCACTTGATAATCTAATAAAGATGGGGGACACGGAGAAGATATTCTTTATTTCGAATTTTCAAAACGAAAAAATTTGGAAAGGCAGGATTTTCTTATTGATAATACCTGAGCTGTAAATTGCTGAATCAAAAACTATTTTTTTAAAACAGTTTTCCAAGGAAGCTCTGAGGACGTATCTCATTAAAGAGGGATGTGTAGCGCACTAGTTAGAGGTCTTTTGCAATAAATGCTTCAGGTGATTAACTTCGAATGCTTCATCTTCTTATTCTCTGTCACTTGTACAAGTACATACTTGTACTTGTGTGGTCGTCAAGCGTTATGTTTGGAAGCCAATTCGTGCCTGCCACGTGTTAGTTAGCCAGTAGGCTCCATGAAAAAGTCTTACTATTGAATTCGTGGTCTTCGTGTATACCTTGTAATACTCTCTCGAACTCTGACAGTAACAACTCTTAACCTTTTCCGTAGAGCGTGTGTGGCGCAGTGGTCGGAGGCGCCCTGCAGCACACACGTGGAATCGATCCTAACGCCCATGGCCCACCAAGCCTTCCATCCTCCGAGGCCGGCAAATTGGTACCAGACTTGTCTGCGAAATAGTAGCATTGGCTCGATACATCGGTAGTCCACCGCGAGTCATCGTAGAGGTCAGATATGCATTCAATCACCTCCAAACGATGCTTAATGAAGTCGGATGCATGGCGCATCCCTCAGAGCTTGGTCAACGCCGAGAGCTCTATCCTTTCATCCTTTTATCCTTTTCCATGTTACCGTCAAGTCGTTACATTAGTCCGTCCCTTCACGTTCGTCGTATTGTATTTCTGAGCTTTCATTTCCATTTCTCATTTACACAATACCGAATGCTTTAGGCATTATCATTTAACGTTGTACGATTTTGTCTACTTAGTGTCCAGTTTTGCAAAATGTACGTTAATGTAGAAATAACTGTGGAGTTTTAGAACATGCAGTAGGGAGGTCCTTGTTTTTTTACTAGGTCTTCCATGCTGTTGTAATTTCCCAAGCTGGCCACACATTCTTAGTTGTTCTTTCAATTCAATATCAACCAGTGGGTTTTCCTTACCTTTGCCGCTATGTTTCATTCTTACGCATTCCTATGAAGTTGTCCTGAGAGATTCCGGATGTTTTTGAACGCATGACTATGGTATCGCTTTATCTGACCCTTACTTATAAGCCCCCGATGATGACAACGTGCAAAGGAAGAAAATTTGACTTTGACGGTGGTGTATGACACATGAAATCCCTTTAGGTATTGAATAAGGACGCTATGAGCATTAAAGGGTTCTATGTCCGCTTCCACTCAACTAATTCGAAGAAACCTTTTAAGGGAGGAGAGGTGAAATTGCGACATTTTTTGTTAGACAATTGTTCTTGCACGGGGCGGATAGCACAATGGTAATGATGCCTGTCATCACAAGCATGGTGCTAGTTCGATTCCGCTCCGGGGCAACCAAGTCTCTCATCCCTCCAGAGTCGGAGAAGTGGTACCGGACTTGTCTGAGAAAAATCACTCTCTGCAGTCTAATTGAGAACGCTCAAGTCCGGCTATCTCAGGAGGCCAGGGAGAATTGCTCCACCAGCATTCTACAACATTCGAGGCGAAATGGAAATCCTCAAGCAGTAACCGAAGCCACACGTAAAAGTTGGAAGATCTTCGTAGACAATGGATGCAAGGAAACGAATCGAATGTGGGAAGTGCTGAGATCCGTGCATAAAATAAAAGGATATAAATCTTTCGGCGTTGATCAACCCTTGAGGAATGGGCCATGCATTCGACTTCATTAAGCATCGCTGGAGGTGATTGAATGCATATCTGGCCTATGCAATGACTCGCGGTGGCCTACCGATGTATCGAGTCAGTGCTGTTATCCTCCCAGACAAGACTGGTACTAATTTGCCGACCCTGAGGGCGTGGAAGGTTTGGTGGGGCATGGGCGCGTGGATCGATTTCACGAGTGTTGCAGGACGTCTCCGACCACTGCGCCACACGCGCCCAAAATAAAAAATAAAAAACAAAAATAAAGAACAAAAAATGAAAAATTCTTCTTGCTTCATAACGCAGTGCTGACGTTTTATATTGAATAATAACCTAGGATTTCCGGTACGTTGCTCAATCATTGTGCTGTGAACTACAAGTTGGTCCTTAAGACATTTAGGTTTGAGTCTTTTGGATCGGGAGCTGTAGTACTTCTCATTAACGATACACTACTTTAACCTTGGAATAATCAGCCACTGGGACGATATATCTGTCCACTCTCCTTGATACAAAATGAAGGAAAATGAACGTAATAGATTAGGTTAGCGTAGGCATTTATTTCTTACTTAAGATCTTTCTAATTTTACTTGTGGGAACAGTGACCGTCTCATTCAGACATTGTATGGCGATCACCTAGACCCTAAAGCTGTCGAATGTCGTCGGCATACTCTTCAATTTTTGCAGTTTCTACCAGTACTTTTCCAATTCTGTCATTGATACGATTTCTAATTGCTTCTCATAAGAACTAGCAACGATAGGTATATAACTTAGCGAGTTCACTTCCACGATAGAACATGGCAAGGGGTACGCCTACATGGATACTTAGATGACTCCCTTCATGAGTAGTGTGGGGCCCAACACATTTTCAATTCGGTAGTCTTTTGTGTAATCGTCGTTCATGGAGTTTGTCCACACTACGTCATAGAAGGGAGTCCCCAGTGTGCGGAGTATTGAAACTGGATTGTTGATGATTGAGTGATTTGTGATTTTCTGGAATGCCATGACCAGCCTAACTGGGGCTTTTCTCTGGTTATTTCCGCCACGGGCAGCCAAAGACTCCTCCTGTGGATCAGAGAAAGTTATTCTACCTTGCTATTAATTTGGCAAGAAGACGAAGATGGTTCCCGGTACTGATTTATTCGCTGAATGGTTTCCGAATTCAATTGTCGAACTCATTCTCAGCTTGAGAGACTGTTCTGAGAAAATAACTCCTCGTTGTACATTGTAGTTGGACACCCAGGAATATCTCCCACCCATGCTGAAGCCGTAAACCATTGAGTGGACGTCAGAAGACAGTAAAATATAATAGGACTCATTTTTTATGTTAAAGGTAGCTGAAAAAATTTTGCGTTAATGTCATATTTCGAGACTTCTGCTGTAATACGTAGAATAGACCTATCTAACACTCACCTTGTCGACATATTACTGAGAACGGCGTCTGAAATGCGGAGTCCAAGATCTTCTCGGCGAAAGGGAAAAATTCGGCTTCGGTGATTTTGGTTGCCTGGAAAGAAAGAGTGCAAGAAATCGGCACCACGGGTGTGTTAAATAGTATTTCTGATTGTTAAATGTAGCGGGGGCGGACGACTAGCGCAATTTTTAGTTTATTACGCGGACTACTCAATCTACGTCGGCCTTCGTTTAACTCTACTGCCGGCCTCCCAAGCCACTCACTCCTTTAGGATTGGAAAATTGGTACCAGACTAGTCCCGTGCCAGTCCACGCCCTCCAGTCCAAGTGGGTACTCCTCAGCACGGTTAACTCAGGTTTCTAGTGAGCACCAACACCACCAGAATTCCATGAAATTCGTGAAGAAGACTTAAAAATCGTCAAACAGTAGCCGAAGCCTTGCGCAAAGTGATCGAAGAGCTCCATCAACAGTAGATGCGAGGCAACGAGTGCAAGAAGTGCAGAGATCTGCGCAATGGATGTGAAGCAGGGCCGTGCGAAATTTTAAAAAAAATAGATATGCTTTATGTGAGAATGGATGAAGTTCACGACAGCGTTAACGGATGTACAAAATATCAACTAAACCGATGGTGAAGATCGATGCGACAACGAACACGCACAACGTGACATCGACCAGCCACCACCGACTCGGGCCAATCCGGCACTGAGAAAGAAGAAGACGTTGAAACGTTAGTCGGATAAACTTTTTTTTTTTTTTACCAAACTCGTGCCAGCCTAATAACCCAAGAAGGCTTTTCAACACACCTCAATAAGAAAAAGTGATTTATCCATTCCTGGGTTATCACCACACATGATCATCTAAGGTGAGAGGTATTCATCTGCGTTTTTCTCACTCTGAAGGAGTTCCTAAGACGAGCATTGCCTTCACAAAACGTACAGGACTGACTGCAACCTGACCCCTAGCTTTTTAAAGGAGCTCTTATTAATTCTACAAGAACTCTGCTTGCTATAATCTTCGGTGAACACTAATCTTTTTAAGTAAGAGGAAACCTTGTTGCCATTCGACTACGCTTTTCAGCTAGTTCTCGAGTTGTATTTAGTAGCTACAGTTAAAGTATTTTGTAGATTTCAGCTTTTCTATACTATGTAATAATTTGCTGTAATTGTTTTTTTGCGGTGGTCATGCTGACTGAAACTCCTGGGCCTTGCATAGCTGTAAAGACTGAACATACAATAGGATGAACTCTTCATTAGTAGAATAAAGCTTTTCATTAGTTGATTGAGATCTTCCCCAACTCAGCCTCAAGCGGGAGAGCTACAAAGTGCTGTAGAAAACACATAAAAATTGAGTGAAACTGACTAGCTGAAAGCGATAAGCTAAAACTTTCCTGGTTAGAAAAACCGTGTCTATTAGTTTAGAAATCTGAAGCGAATTACGATAGTGAGTGCCTGAAGTAAGTCTAGTAGCAACAAGAAATGATTTTCCTACCGCATTCATGGTTTCTTCGACCAAGAAATGCTGCATAAGGAAATCGCGTACTTCATGACGATTTTCTGAACTTGCAATCGAAAATTGAAATTGATCCATAGAGTCCTGAATTTTGTTTACAATCAGGCTAAAACGTAATCATAGGGATGAATGGCACAGTGGTAGTGAGGCCGATCATCACGAGGAAGGTGCTGGATCGATTCCGTCCCAGGCTCACAAAGCCTCTCATCTCTCCTGCGTTGGAATACTGGTACCGAACTTCTCGGAAAAAAGTCACTCTCTGCAATCCAAGTGGGAACACTGTTGCCCGTCTATTGCAGGACTTCATGGAGAATCGACTCGACCATTCCCATGACCGACTTTCTGTTAACCTCGGCATTAATTGATAATTCAATGTTTTTCATCAATAAGCAGACACGAGGTTGTTAATATAGAATTTATTAGAACACAATTGCTGACGTTTCGGCGGTTTCGCCTTCTTCAGAGCCTGGAAAGGTCAAATTGAGATGCGATCTACTCAGCCAAACAACGAGCAGCAGGGGCACTACCACCACCTCCATTTCCTCGGTTATTCTTTAGACAGCAAGACCCAAACGACGAAGT